TATATATATAATCACAAAGAGGACAAAGGCTGAAAAACAAGCACAGGTGTGAAACACAGACAACAATGTCAGTTTTTCTTTTCTTTTTTAACATTTACTATGAGTCAACTACAAAGCAGATCTTTGTCCACTAAGATTTTTTTTATCATTTTAACAGCAGAGGAAACATTCTGGACCAACCACATTTCTGACAAGACCAAGAGAAGCCCACAGACCAGCTTGGTTTTTGGCAGCAACACACCATGACACGTAGACAGCTGATGCTCCACAAACACACAAGTGCTGACGCAAAAGAACAGTTCAGCATAAACAGACGCCCATGAGCATCAATGAACTGTTGTAACATTGATAAATAAGTGACAGGTGATTATCTGATGCTTGCTGAGGATTGTGGCAATCCAATCGAAGAACAGTTTGCAATTAAGCCACTATTAATACCACCAAATGGTCTTCATGTGCACTTTGTTTTAAAAATGTGACAGACTTGGGTTTGTTTCCTGACAAAAACTCGTATAGTACAAAAAAACTGAAACGATTTAGACAACATGAGAGTATGCAGATGTGGTGATAACCTACAGTTCCAGTCACTCAGACAGGTCAGGTAATAAGTAGGCAGCCGTGTTTTGTTTTTCTCAATTTCATTTCTTATGGACTGGTAAATCATAAGGATGTGGGTGCCAAGCCATTATTTCCTGTGCAGAGAATGGAACTGGAGCTTGAAGCCGTACACAGACATGGAAAAAGAAACGCGGCTCATCTATAAGGTAAGGAAAACAGATTATACCAAAACACTGTTTAGTGAGCTCCTTGTTACGGCACCATTGTTCCCTTTTTCTCAATTACCCCAAAGCAAATAGAGCAGATGCAGCGCTGCCACAGAATGAGCTTCCACTGGATGCGGGCACTGCAGATCTTTGAGTTGTGTTACTCTAACTCTACAGACCTGATTTAAAGTGTGGCGTGTTCCTTACTGAGTTCGTTTCAGGTTTAACTGCTGCTTCAACGACAGCCACCTCATCTTGTTCTGAACTGTACAAACAAAGAGGAAGCAAACACCGCTGCCGCTGTCGGTCTGAGTGACAGAGGCTACTTCCAGGGACAGCACAGGAAATGAAAATATCAAGCATCACAGCCTGAAAAGTTCTCCCGGAAATAAAAACAACTTTTGATGAAGAATTAAACAGCTGAGACAAAGAGGGTACACTGAAACATATAAACATTAAAAGCTGGTAAAATCAGAAGTTCAGATGAGAATTGGACGAAACAAAAAAATCACAAAGGTTCAGGAGAAAACAATAAACTCATGCTCTCATCTAATCAGTGTGTGCAGAGATTATGTAATTAAAAAAAAAAAAAAAACAATACCAAGAATTTCCTTTCTCCTTTAAATCTTTTATGACACAAAATTGAAGCCAGTCAAAAAAGAATGGAGTTTCTTTAAATTAATTTTTTTGACAATGCACTTAAGCAGTTTTTCCTCTTCAGACTCGCGCACAGTGTGTGTATCAGTGTCGTGGATCATTAATGAGCTCCATGCCGGGCTCTGGCCTAGCCAGCGGCTCAGCATGCCTTGCTTCCCTGCTAAGATGCAAAACATAGGCTCAGCTGCCCAGAGATGACCTGCACATCACTCCGTGCTCATTGGGAGGAAGATACACACTGAATAATAATAATAA